AAAAAAAGAAACCCGGTAACTTGTCAGGGTCACCCAGCAAGAATGTGGCGTGCTGGGGTCTGACCTGGGGATTCTCATGCCCGGGACCCTGCCGTGCCCTCCTCACGTGCCCCAGTCCTGGCCCCTGGCTGGTCCGAATGTGGCAATACAGTCTGGACAGGGCACAGGGACCCTGAAGCCAAAAGAAGGTGCCCGCTACTGCCAGGGGAGGCACCTGCCAGGAGAGCACATTCCAGGGGAGGCTTGGGCCCCACTGGAGCAGGGGCTAGAATTGAGGCCTGTGTGGCTCAGCTTCCCAGGGTTTTGGGGGGAGGCTCTCCCGCCGGCCCATCCACCCCACTGCCCGGAAGAGGAAGAACCTCTCAAACCGGTTCCCCATGCTCTGGCCCGGCCCTGGGTCCCAGCTGTCCACCCACCTGGCCTGAGCCAGGTTTGATTTCCTGCTGGGGTTACCGGGGCCCCACACTGTAGAGAAACCCAGACAGGAGGCCAGGGCTTGCTCATTTATTCAGCAGGTTCTGAGTGTCGCCAGCCATGGGATGGGCGTTGCTCTGGGTGAACAGTCTGAGGGCACCCCTCCCTCCTGGGGCTGACATCCTAGGGAAGATAGACCACAGGGGACGTGGTGTTAACAATGACAACTAGGACGATGGGACCCCAGGTGCTTTCTTCACAAGAAGTCATGTCACTGTCACAGCGCTCAGAGTGCAGATGTGTTATTGCCCCCACTTTACAGGTGGGGAGACTGAGGCACAGGGTCACACAGCTAGTACATGGCTGTTATGGATTGTGTGTTTGTGTCACCCCCCAAATTCATGTTGAAACCCTAGCCCCCCCAGGGGGATGGTTTTAGGTGGTGGGGTGCTGGGGAGGTCATTAGGCGTGATGGAAAGAGGAATAAGAACTGGCTCCCTCTGTCCACCAAGTGAGGACAGAGTGGACCCGGAAGCAGGTCTTCACCAGAACCTGACCATGCTGGCCCCCCAGCTCGGACTTCCAGCCTCCCGACTGTGAGGCATCAATGTGTGTCGAAGCTACTCATCCCTGGCACTCCATTCCAGCAGCCTGAGCTGGTGAGACGTGGTCCAGCCCGGCCACCGACCCAGGAAGCCTGACCCCGAGTCCATGATGAATAAATACATAAAATAAGTAGGTAATGATAAGTGCAGAGCAGAAAGGTAAAGCATCAGGAGAGGAGAATGTGTGTGTGTGTGTGTGTGTGTGTGTGTGTGTGGTGTGGTGTGTGAGTGTGAGTGTGTGTGTGTGCACGTGTGCGCGCACACACGTGTGTGCAGAGTTGTATCTGTGTATGTGTGTTTCTGTGTGTACGTGTGTCTGCCTGTGTGCGTGTGTACACACATGTGTCTGTGCATGTGTACATGTATCTATGTGTGTATGTGTGCATGTGTGTCTGAGTGTGTGCATGCACGCCTGTTCATGTGTGTAGCCTATGCACGTATGTCTGTGTATCTGGGAGTGAGTGCATGTGTGTCTGTGTGTGCATGTGTGTAGTCTATGCATGTGTGTCTGTGAGTGTGTGCGTGTGTGTCTGGGCGTGTTGGGGTGGTTGTTTGACAGTTTCAGGCACTTTGGCCTTGGGGCTGGAATTGACCCTCCAGTGGAAGCTCCCAGCTGACCTTGTTCGTGCCCAGGCCTCTTGGGGCACCTGAGGCAGGCTCTGCGTCCCCTGTATCTTTACTCCCCTGGTGCCCCAGTGCCTGCCTCAGGCTGCCCTCCATCCCAGGGCTCCACGATGCTTGGTCAAGCAGCAAGCGTGTGGGGTGCTCTTACTGCAGGCTGGACACTGTGCCGAGCTTAGAGGCCTCTCACTCAGTCCTCCTAGAGCCCAGGATATATCATCATGCCCACGTGACAGATGAGGAATCCGACGATAGTAGAGTCATGTGACCAGGTTCACAGAGAACAGACTCCCGCACTAGGGTCCCAGCTCCAGAGGTGGCTCACCCAAGGGACAGGGACCTGGAAGCCAGTACGCTGCAGCTCAGGCAGGTGGGCCCAAAGGTGGCCGCTCTTTCCACGCTCCCTTCCTCTCTCTCCCTCTCTCTCTCTCTCTCTCTCTCTCTCTCTCTGTCTCTCTCTTTCTTTCTCCTAGACAAGGTGGCAGGTGGTACACCTTGAACCCCCAGGACCACCTAGCCCAGAGGGAGGAGACTGCATGGCCAGGGGCCCATTTGGACCCCAGCCCCGCGTCTGCACCTGTGAAGTGAAGGACAAAATTGCCTCCCTCAGGAAGTTGCCATGGGATGAGGAACAGCGTTCATTCTGCCTCCTTCTTCGCATAACCACCCCCACCTTCCTGCCCACCTTCTACCCCAGTCTGGGTAAAAGTCTTTCACCCCAACCCCCCTCCCATATCTGCAGGGGAGCCTTGGGCCACAGGCCTTGGTCCTCCCCACACCCACCCTGCGGGGCTGGGCCAGGGGCTGCGTGCAAAGCTGAGGGGGTCAGATAGGCAGGCACAGGCATGCGAGGTGGGGTCGCTGGGACAGGCGAGGTTGGGAAGGCCCCAGGGTGGGGAGCTGGGGCCCAGAGAGGGGGCGGTATGGCCTGTCACCTACACACCACAGACTCACCTTGGCCACTGGGCCTCTGCTCCAGGCCAGATGTGGGGGTGCGCCTGGTTGGGCTTGGCAGAGACACTTGCAATGTGGGACACCCCTGCCCCGGACAGGCCATTTGGAGACCAGTGCAGACAACACCACCATGATGGATCGTGGGGCGGGGTAAAGAAGCGATAGGTGCTGAGTCATTCCCGCACCGTAAACATGTTTGTGTTGTTCATTTTCATACCCCAGGGCCCAATAATGCCTGGCGCATAGTAGGTGTTCAGTAAATATGTGCTGAATGACTAGGTAAACGAAGTCAGGATTTGTACTGCCAGGTAGCAGTGGGATGAAAGTTCATGTTTTTCTGGGGAAGGGACGAGACAATACAAATTGGTAACTACAATATGGCCTCAGGGATAGACAAGACAGTCTGGGGAATATAATCAATAATGTTGTAAATATTTCTTAGGGGGCCAGATGGACTCATGTCTTGTTAGGGAGACCACTTCATAGAGTCGGTGTAGAGGCCTGACCACCGCACTGTATTTCTGAAGCTGATGTTGAATAATATTGTATGTCAACTATAATTATGTACACATATAGTCACAGGATGTGGAGTAGAGAGTGGGAATGGAGTCAATGGAATTGTAACAGATAAGCATGATATCGGGGGTGGGAGGGCAGCAGATGGGGGAGGGGGTTTGTTACTTTGTGAGGGGTGAAAAGGATAACTATTGCATTGTTCTGTACACCTGAAACTAACAATAAAAAAGAAAAAGGTCATGTTTTTCTCTTTTTGCTTATTTTTTTTATTTTTATTTTTTTTGGCAATAATTGCACAGACTTTCTAATGTGAGAAAAAAGCAGTAATTTCAAAACCTTGTCACTGCACAGCTGGTGTGGCCACAGGGAACTGAAGGGGCTTTTGGCCGAGAGCAGCCCTGCAACTCCTTTAGGGTCACAGCGACCAACGTGACATCTCCCCGTGGCCAAAATGCGAGCAGAGCCTGGAAAGAACCAAGCGGCGGGTGCCTGGGGTGGGACTTTCCTCTGTGTCTTGTTTGCTCTCCGGTTGTCACTTGATGCTGAGGCCATCAGTTCAATCCAGGAAGGAAGATAGCGGGGTGTGGCTGGTCACAGAGGCGTGGGGGGTGAGGGGTCCAGAGCAGCTCTCTTCCCCTCCAGAAGCCTCGGTTTTCCCATCTATAAAACAGGATGATGGCACAGGCCTGGGGTTTTGTGAGAAGCGACTGCTGCCACCCCAGGCTTGGCACCCACCGTGTCCTTGGTGGCCCCGTTTCCTTCCCTTTTTCATGCCCTGCTGCCCGCAGGGTTAAGTAAGACTTGGCTGGTGTCTGTTTATTGCTTGCAAGACCAGAGCCTGCGGCCGCTGGGGCCTGACAAGGGCCAGTTCCACCATCATGAAGCCGGCCTGAGGAGCGGGAGGAGGGGAGCAGCAGAGACCCAGGGTCCTCGGCCCAGGGCCGGGTCTCAGCTCTGCCACTTAGCAGTGGGCACCACACCCCTCGGTAAAGTGGGCACAGCAGGGCCCACGTCTGAGAGCTTTTGAGAGGGCTTGTTCTTCTGATGGGTGGCTGTGCCCAGAGGGCCTCTCCCCACCCCTTTCTGCAGGCCCTGAGCTGGCCTTGAGGGAAGCAAGGCCTCCAGGGCCTGTTTTCTTTCTTAGCGGTTTGGGAGAAAAAGGGAAATCATATGAGGCAGAACTTTGGAGAGTTAGGGCCCATCTATGTGTTAAACTCCTACTCTGCCCGCTCTGTCCCAGGCATCTTACAAATGTGGTTGTGGTGTAACACTGTCACAAGGAAGTCACCCTCATTTCCAGAAGAGGCCAAGTTCACCGCATGGTCACCAGTGTCTGGCTCCTAGGAGACTTCAAAAAATATTTGTTGGATGGATAAATGAATGGACTGATTATAGATGGATGGGTGGATGGATGGATGATGGGTGGATGATGGGTAGATGGATGGGTGGATGAATGGATAATGGATGGATGGATGATGGATGGATGGATGAT